GGCGATGCGGGGGCGGGGTTGCGGGGCCGGTGGCAGGCCTGCGGGGTTAGGCGGCGGGGTACCCGGGGCTGGGCGGCGGCGGGGGTCGTCCGGCGTTGGCGGGGTTGGATGGCCCCCGCGGCGGGGGTCCGGGGTCCGCAGCCTCACACCGGCTTTGCCCCCGGGGATCCCCGCTCGACAACGCTGTCTACCACCCCTGTCTTCACCACTCCTACCTCCCCCGGTTTTGTCTTCATCCGTTACCTTTCTTCCTAATCCACAAACCACTTCGTCCACACAGACTCCGTCATCATGTTTTGCCCCTGCAGAAAGCGTACTTCGCTGTCCTAGACGCCGACTCCGACCTACTTTCCAACCTCAACTTACTCCCCTTTCCTCCTCTCTGTTCTTGGATGAAGAAGAACCCGTTCATTCTCCCCACCACGATCGTCCCCAACATCCCGTCCTCTTCTTTTGCCACCCCAAGCATCCTTACCACGCCTGCAACGCTCTTCGACTGCAGACCTTTCTGCAACGCGACAAACACAAAACAGGAGGGATGATGGCGAGGGGCTATCTGAGGATGAACTTGGCAAGGGGACTGTTGGAGATTCTGTAGAAAATCCGCCTGACTGGCCTTCACCGAATCTGTGTGGCCTCGCTGCTACTAACGTCCGCCTGCAAGCCCATCATCGGGAACCATATACTCGCTCTGATTTCTTGGCCATTGCTTCCGATCTTGATGCTCAGGAACGTGAGTTGTATGGCGATAACTTGACTCTGCATCCCCCACAGGATAGTAATTACACTCGACATGGGGGATTCAATTTCTCGGTTTTGGAGACTGTTTTGATAAGGCGCCGACTTGATATGCAGTGTGCCCCTTCGGGTGGCGACCCGGACCACTGTTCGCACGTTTGTGCCTATATTCACATGCTCCTGGCCACTACACCGCTCTTGTCCGTGCCTCTGGTTCTTGGGAATTATGGAATGGCGGTGCTATGGTGCAAACTATTACTGCCATCTGTGATCTCGTGCGTAATTACCCTAACCTGCAACTGTTCCAGGTCATTGACCCTATGGGTACCTCGTGTACTTCCATGCCCGCCTCTACGCCTATCTCTGTGCCTGCCTCCGTACCTGTCTCTGTGCCTGCCTCCGTACCTGTCTCTGTGCCTGTTTCTGTGTTTGTCTCCTTTCAGATTACCGACTCTATGGGTACCACGTGTACTTCCATCCCCGCCTCTGCACCTGTCTCTGTGCCTGCCTCTACACCCGTCTCCATGCCCGTTTTTGTGTCTGTCTCCGTGCCTACCTCCATGTTTGTCACCGTGCCTGCTTTAGTTTTCATTCCCCCACATGCTGCACTAACACCTTGTGACCTCCTTCTTTGTGAGGTCACTGACACAGTTACACTTGGTTGTGGAAAGCATCGACTTTGTCGACATCACTACAACCGTATAACGCCATCGGCAGGGATGCCACCTGTATCCGGATTGTGAACATCCTCTACATCCAGATGCAGTATGTCCCATCTGTACCTGCGGGCGCTAATGTGCACTTAACTGTGATGGTGAACGCCCCACAATCGTTCTGGCCTGCAACCGGCATGCCCTCTGTCGTGCATGCTTCAGAGGTATGGTTAATGCTAGCCGCCCTGGCTCCTCCTGTGACGAAGTTGCTTACCTGAATGGTTTTCGTCCTGTAGGTCAACGGGAGGGCTGCTACCATCGCCTGCATCCTTATGACGGTTGTCCTATCTGTCGTGAGGGTCTTACGTATACGTACCTTGCACCCTGACAAAGATGTGCAGGTGCGCTGAAAAGAGTGTACAAGAATGTGCAAAGGTGGGGAACCGTTCACTAAAACTGCAAAACTGTGAAGAATGCAGTAAAAGAAAAACATAAGTTTGTGTCATCTTACTTTGTTTGTACCCTGCACCCTAACACCCTCAAAAGAAAAGTCCGAAGGGTGAAAATGAAGATGAAAAATGAAGAAGGAAGTGCAGGTGCGCTGAAAAGCGAACGTGGTAGACTCTTCACCAAAACTGCAAAACTGTGAAAGAAAGAAGAATGCAGTGAAAGAAAGAAGAAGATGTTTGGGTCACTTTTTTTATTTTTTCTCCCTCTGCCTATCGGTTTTATTTTTCTGCTCCTCTCTTCCTTGTGTTTAACACCTCTTCCTTCACTCAGCCTCTTTCCCATAGCGTGCAAGTGGGCTGTTATGGCATACGGGGATGGGGGCAGCTCGCGCTCAACTTCATCAACGTGGCGAGCCTTGTATGTTAGAGGCATAGTGGAGGAGGCGTTATGAAGACTGAGGAACTGAATGATTTCATTGTGTCTTTGTTTTTGATTTTTATCCTTTGATTCAATGTAATTTTTTTTTGTAAAACACTGAAAGAAATAATAATACTGTGAAACAAAGAATAAGAGGACACTGCTTTGTGTCATTGTGGTTTGTCTGTCTCTTTGCCTGTCTGTCCTTTCATTCTTCTTTTCTTCGCTCATCTTATTTCTTCTTCTACTTCACGTGCTTGTTCTAATATTTTTGCTATGGATGCTGAACGGAGGCCAGCCCCGGACAGGTGCGCCGGCCAGATGCATCCCAAATGCTTGGCGCGTAGGGCCGGTGGTGGACATATGGAAAAGGTACTGGCGGTTTAAGATAGGTCATGTGGCATCAGTATTGCACTGGAGAGATGAACAATATTCCTCAGGCTTCACGGGACCAGGGTAGTCCAACAGGTGAGGCAGGAACAACAATAGATGTACTCTACTTGTATGAGTGGTGGGGATCTGACGACGCCTGTAGGAATTAGATTGACTGCAACTACGTCTGCTCAACATAACTAGGCTAGTATGTCTCTAAAGGCTCCAACTCCTAGCTTCAAATAGCAACTCGACAACATCCGCTGTGGGCCGGTCATCTTCGTTCACCATGTAAATGTTTACAAAGGGACGCTGGACCTGCTTTCCAGCGTGCACAAGGGGGGCTGCAGATACCTGGAATTGTTGTTGGACCCAATTACAGGGGGTGACAGGATAGGAGGACATAGTTGGAAATGATCCAGGTAGGGACTCGGTCAGTAGGAAGTAGGAGCTCTAGAAGTAGGAAGGAGGACTAAAACCACTAGTACTTCCTAAAGTCGTTCCCGCAAACCGTAATTTTAGGAAATGCACGGGTCACTACAGGAGCGCCCAAATCCATCCGACTAGAAATGTTTCTCTACTCCATTTTTTTTCCACGGCCGATAGCTGGGCCAAGTACTGGTGGTTTCTCTACTCCATTTTTTTTCCACGGCCGATAGCATGCCCGTTAACAAGCCACAATTTAAGGAAATTTATGGGTCACAACAGGAGCGCCCAAATTCATCCGGCTAGAAACGTTTCTACTCTTATCTTTTCCGCAGCCGATAGCTGGGCCAAGTACTGGTGGTTTAAACAGGTGACGTTCAACCTCACGCCCTGTGCTGTCTTCTGGTCGGAGTGATAAATTGTGCGGAACAGGCCCTGAAAGTACAGGATAATGGGGTGTGCCAAGGATTTTTGGAAAAATTGAGTGCGGGGACACAGATGGAACTGAAATCCCCCATGTGGTTCCAGTTTTAGTGAGGAAGGGTCATAGCTGCACGGAAAAGAAATAGCGGGCTGCTTTCAAACGTTCGTTAATCCAAAAAGTATCTTTGAACCTCTAAGCGGGCCACTCATCGTCTTTTCGTAGGTCTGACTTTTGGGGTGCGAGGTTTTGGGGGTGTTTGATGTATGAGGGTTGTGGTTTGTGGGGGTGCGAGGTTTTGGGGATGCGTGGTTCATGGGTAGTTTATGACAAAACCAGCACCTACGAATCCTGAGCACTTCGGAGGAAAATAGTAGGGCCCACCGTCGACGACTTCTTGTATGTCCCGCTCACATGCACCTCCTTTCCTTGTTGTACGGGAATGGGCGTGGTGGGGGCACGGGAAGTCGACTCCCAGTCGGATTGGGCCAATCGGTTCACATGGCATATGCGAGGCAGATCGTGGATGTGAAATTGATCAGTTATTCGATCAAAAAAACAATAGATACCCCGATATGCATTATTTTCAACCCATCCTGCAAACCATTCAAAGCGTGTGCAATCCAATCAGTCGAGAGAACAACCATTCCTCATTTGCACGTATAGTAAGCATGCATCCAAGTAATCACTTCAGGTTTCGGCTTTGTTCCCGTCATCGGGGCACTACGAATTCCCTTCGGAGATGGACATGCGCGGCCTAGGCCGCGACTGTGGCCGCGCAACCGTCGGGGGGGAGTGTGAGAGGTCGGTGTGCAGGGGCGTCTGCGCAGCCACAGCCCTTGCCCCACGACCCAAGAAAGCCGAAAAGAGAAGATGTTTTGGGGTGGTTATTTTCGTCGACCTGAAGGGGTGTTAAAAAAAAATCCCTCCCCCCCCCCCCCTCCTGCACCTTCTCAGAATTACTTATTGTGGGGGTGTCTGTCTCGGATGTGCGAAGGTTTGTGTTTGCACAAAAAAAACAATTCGTTGGACATGGGGGTTACGAGGGAGTTGGGGGGGGCGGGTGAATTTGAAAGGGCATTTGGAGTGTGTTAGCCGAACGGCGACTGGGTAGGGTTTGGAATGGATGCATTGTTGGGGGCGTGGGGTGTGACTATTGGGGGTGCGAGGTTTTTGGGGTGTTTGATGTATGAGGGTTGTGGTTTATGACGGGGGTATTGCCGTAATGTTCCATTAGCCGTGAACGTAAAAAACCTCGCAAGGTTATTGCAATGTCCTCGTGAGGTTATTACCCTCATGTTCCATCGATAGTCCTCCATTATTGCAAAAAGGGAGGTGGGGACCTTGAGTGTCCTCCAGATGGTATCATAAAGGTTAAGATTCGTTTCGTTGGTCGCTGTCAGCTTATTGATGCTCCGCTCAGTTGTAATTAACTAGGAGTGGAGCGGGAGGGCATTGGGGCCATTACGATGGAAGCGGGGGAAAGTAATCAGAGGCTTTGTCACCAAGATCAACGAAATGAGCGACCCGTTGAACGTGGGGTAATCGATGATTGAGCCGGGGGAGTGAGGCGAGGTATTTCGCCTAGAGGGTGGGCATGGCAGGATATTTTTGCACAAGAAGGTTCCGAATATGATGCAATATAACTCCATGTGGTTGTATTGTCTACATGCAACACTGAAGAGGAGAATATTGAGGGGAAATGATGGAGCATTGTGAGGGAAAGCTTCGCACAACAGGCGCACAGAACAGTGGCTATAGAAGTGTTGCCTGGCTAAAATATGATAATTGAGGGGCACTCGATGTGGGTGAGTGAGGAGAAATAAAGGTAATCAAGAGGGAGGTGGAAGACGGGACGTAGACGCAACGCTCGTGCGGGAAGGAGGACAGGGCCGAACCGCGGAGGGGGCGGTAGAGGAAGGAAATGGTGAGCTAGACCGCTGGCAGTGGGAGGATTCTATGCCAACGTGGAGATTAACTCTGTCTTCAAACAAATTTTGATTCCGTGTGAAATCCGTGAGTACGGCTGGTCGCGTGCCAGAGGATGGCGCTTTGTGATGCTGGAGTTGGTATAACTCGTTGTGCTGCTCGGTTGGCAGCTCATTTTTCTCCTCTGCTTCTTCTTGATCGTCGTTTTTTTCTTCGGACGTGGTTCGACTTCCACCTCTTCTTCTTCTTGGTCTTGCAGGCCTGGGAGCGCTATTTGTTTTGGATAGTCATCAGACATCACCTCCCCGTTATCACGTTACGAAGTCCATAAATCTTTTAGATCAGAGTTATCAGGGGAGACTTCGTCCAAATCCAGAAAGTCCTACTCGATTAGGTCGTGCTGGTTCAGGAAATGGTCAACGTCCTTCATGTTGCCTGTCCAGATCACTGTTGGTGTCAGCGTCCGCTCCAATGTTACCGCCTCCGTATGGCGATTCATCGGCGAGAAGTGTCAAAGGGATGAAGAGCCGGGAGCAGTGGCGCCAGAGGATCCAAAGTATTGGATCGCAGCGAGAAAGTGTCGATACACTTCGTGCCCACCACCTGTTCACCTGGCCTGGCCAATCGCTACTGCCAATCCGTCACCAACTTACACCGTAGAGGCTTCCTACCATGTCGCTGCATGCTAGGTGGTGATGCTGCGAAGATCGTCGCTGAATACGACAATCACTGTCATGCCACTCTCCCTGGACCGAGAAAAAACGCCGAAATGCCTATGCTTCGACCATGATCACGGCCGAACCACGATCCGTTCAGATCGTCACTTCTATTGCTGCATACCTTTCTTGCCTATTGAACAACTGTGCGAATCGCAATAGATCGGGGCTGAGCCGTGGATGAGACACTTGGCGAAATTGCAAGGGAAGTTGAGGTTGGAGAAGTCGAGCAGAGATTGTCGGCTCAAGTGCGAAACTCATGGAGATGGCTGCAAGCAGAAAGTATTATTGATAGAGAGGGAAGGCAAGATCTTCATCTCGGCTAGAGAGAGATGAGGAGGAGAAGGACAGTCGGAAGAGGGAAGAGGACGGATGTAGGAGACATGACGAACGATGGAAAAAGAGCTATGACAGGTACCTGTCCCAGGAGTAATAAGCACGGTACTCACCTTGTTAGGGTTGAGTTTCACTACGAGAAAGCAACCAGATAACTTAGGAGTGAGTTTCCAGTCACGTGCACATTTATGTAGCTGCACGAGGTGTTGAGGGCCCTCGTTCCCATTTCGAGCCTCGTAACTATGGATGAGCCAGCTTTTCTATCAGCGCTCACGAGCCTATGGGGC